GTTGCATAATGGGAGGCAACCTTCTCTCTCATTCTTTATTTTATCCCACCTGCATGTTATGCGACTTGAATTCAGGATCTTTTATTTTCAACGGAAAGAAATTATCATTGAACTATTTAGTTTGTTGGCATTTTTAATAAATATTAGAGATGCTTTACCTAAAATTAATATAACTCTCTCAAATTTTACTCTATTCTTTCTTCTACTTCCCTATCTCCATGGTCTCCCTTTTTTTCCAAAAAAAAAAGGAAAAAAAACCCCAGAAATAGGAAAATTTAGAGAATGAAAAGTAGGGTTTTTAATTTAGAGTAGAAAATATAAAAGAATATAAATATTTTATATATAGAAAAATTTATAATTATAATATTACGTAACATTATAAAATTACAATATAAGATATCATTATATAATTAACTCTTTTATTTAGGGTTCATTGGTGATATTCTATATATTCATTCATTCAATAGTACATAAAAAATAGTAGTTAGCATTATAACTATAGTATTTTTGTTTATATATATACTACTTTTGTTCAACTTTAATATGCTTAATTTTTTGTTCAATAAACTAAGAATGTAATATTTAATTAATAAAATTTCATATTTATTTTTAATTAATCATTACTTAAATAAATATTCTTATTTAAATATGTTATAATTATCTTTTTAAAATAAAGTTAAAATAAGAATAAACGCATTAAATAAAATTCTAAAAAAAAATATGCACAACTAAATTTGAGGCTCTCAAATTAAAATCTAAGTTTACTAAAATTAAACTAAAAAAAGTTTTTTTTATTATATTTTGTAATAATTTTAATAAAAACTAAAAAGATTTAATTTAAAATTGTATATAATCTCACCTGTATTTTAATTATTGACTCAAAATTTTATCCCACGCCACAAATCAAGACTTGCACGGTAGGACAAAATTAAGCTAGATGATCCAGCACTCCATGTCATGTATATTGTAATGTTTTTGAGAATACAAGGAGAGTTTTGCAATAACAAAATAATTGATCAGAACTATTGAGACAACAAACATACACCATCTTATAGGTTTATGTTGCAACCTGAGGCCCTAACTTGGGGCAGACATTATGGGGTAACTTATTGAATGCCTAAATCTGGGAAATAGATTTGATATATGCTTAATTTGGGGTGCTGTAGGGTGATAAAGAAGAAATTAATAAGCCCCATCTTAATGGGTTAGTTTCAATTTATAAACAGTGATAACACCAGCTAAGACTGTGTCCATATATCATGATTAAGGGTGGTAAAAATCCATCCGATCTGTCAACTCGATCTGTCAACTCGATCCTAACCCAAACCGTAAAAATAAGTTAAGGTCTACATATCTCAACCGCAACCCGTATGTTAGGGGTGGCAAAAATCCACCTGATTCTAACCCAACCTGTAAAAACAAGTTAATGTCTACATATCTCAATCACAACCCATATATAATCTGTAATATTAACCTGTACATGATATGGGTTGAGTTATGATCAACCTGTGGGTTAACAGGTTAACATGTTTGTTTTCTTTTATTATTATATTTTAAAAAAACATTATACTTATTATTCTTAATTAATTTTTCTATTGGTAACTCTCTTCATTAGTTCATACTTTTCAACTTCGTTTTCGTTACTTAAATGGTTCTGAACTTATTTTTAGTGTTTACTCATTATAATTTCTTTTTCTTTCTCTAAAAATTATATGGGTTTGATCTAATTATCAAGTATTATAAATTAAATGATAATGCAACTAAAAATATTAAAGATATGATGTTAGGATATAAACATAATAATTTAATGAAAGATGTTTTTGGAAGAGCAATTTCATCATTAAAAAAAAAAGACTTAAACTCCTTGATAATATTTCTAGATGATTATAAAATTAAAATTTTATTTTTCAAGAAATTTAAATATTTTAAGTTTAATATTATTAATCAACTTACTATTATTTATAACTTTATAATTTTTTTTAATTTAAATATTTGTGATTAAGACTATAAAGTATTTAATGTTAATGAGTTACAATACTTTAATTAAATTTAGATATATATAATTTTATTTATATATAATAAAATAATAAAAATAATTATAAAAAATGAAAATAAGATTAACCCATGAGTTAACTTGTAATCCACTAGAGTTGGGTTAGTGTTGGACTTTTCCAACCCTCAATTGATTTATGACCTAACTCGTATAACCTATCACTCGAGTTGATTCATTCCAAACCCAACCTAACCCGCCCCTTTGCCAAGCTTAATCATGATCTTTACCTTATCACTCAACCAACAAATCTTAATATATGAGTAATGATTCATGGGATGAAATTTTAAGCAGAATACCTAAATATACCCCTTAAATAAGATGGTAGAAACATAACTATCTCTAAAAAAGAGATAAATTATATCTCTAAATTATCAATTAAAACAAATAATTTATTATTTAACATGTAACGTTATCATGTGTCAGAAATCTATTTGCCATCTAAGCATGTTTTTGATGGAAAATTGATTTATGATGATATTATACATTAAATAATGGGTTACTTGTCTTACTCAATAATTTAGATGGCAATTTGTCCCTAATTTTTTTTTTTTTTGGGTGGATATGTTCTTACCAATCTATTTAAGAGGTGGATTTGGGGGTTTGGTAGTAATTTGAAAGGCAAAAGGTGCAAATTTCCCCTCTAAATTATTGTTGTTGACATAATTTGCCACCCTAAATTTTTATTTTCAAGAAATTGATTTAAATTAAATGATTATCATTAATTTTTCATTAGATTTCAAGAGTAATAGTTTAACAAAGTTTAATGCTAACTATAAAATTTGGGCTGATTTCTTAAAAATAGAAATTTTGGGTGCAAATTGTATCAATATTTTATAGTGATTTACTTTAATATAACAATTTTAAAGAGTAATTTGCACATTTTGACAATTTTAAAATGAAATTATAAGACAAAATTTTTTAGAAATTAGTGTTTATTAGTAAGATCTTCAAGTTAAAAAATATTTAAAACTAAGTTATTTTAATAAAGTATTATGAAAAAATTAAAATAAATTCATTCATATTTTAAAAAAGAAGGATATTTTAGTTTTTTCCATGCAATTTAATTAAAACATTGTAATTTTAAAATATTTTTTGTCTAATATTTGCAAGTATGACTAATAAATATTTTTCTAATTTTTTAACCTTTGATCATGTGGGTCCATCACATAAATCAGTGGCTACAAAAATTCATTTCGAAATTTTGTCTTTAATATCATTTTTATCTAATATATAAATTTAAAAAATGTGATTTGTAATTGGTACTGTACTTTACTACAAATTATAAAACACCAACCATTAAATTTAGGAAATAATTACAAAATGTGTTTGCAATTTATTATCACAGATTTCTCTATTTAATAATTCATGTTTTACAATTTAAACCGTAAAATATAAATCTTATAAATTATGTTAAGAAAAAAATATTTTACATAGTAAATCAAATATTGAAAGTGCGGTATATCTTAAAAATTTAATAAAATATTTATAATAAAAATATTTCTTTTATTATTTCATTAAAAATATTTAATAAATTTATAAGATAAATTATATTTTTAATATACAATTAAGAATATTTAATAAATTTATAAGATAAATTATATTTTTAATATACAATTTAAACTATATTTTTAATGTATAGTTTCTGCCTATAATATATG